ATACACGCTTATTATGACCCACTTCTCGCATCCAACCTTTACTTTAATCCACATAATTCTTGAATTTACACATTCATATTCTCTTTTCTCCTTCCATAACTGATCATTTAACATTACTGCTACCCCTTCCTTTGCTCTAACTCTCTCAGATACTCCAGATTTAATCCCATTTATTTCCCCCCACTGAAACTCTCCTACCCCCTTCAGCTTTGTTTCGCTTAGGGCCAGGAACATCCAACTTCTTTTCATTCATAACATCAGCAATCATCTGTTTCTTGTCATCCGCACAAACATCCACGCACATTTAAGCAACCCAGTTTTATAAAGTTTTTCTTCTTCTCTTTGTTAGTAATTGTATACAGGAGAAGGGGTTACTAGCCCATTGCTCCCGGCATTTTAGTCGCCTCATACGACACGCATGGCTTACGGAGGAAAGATTCTTTTCCACTTCCCATGGACAATAGAAGAAATAAAAAAGAACAAGAGCTATTTAGAAAAAGGAGAAAAACCTAGACGTATGTATATATATATATGCATGTGCGTGTCTGTGAAGTGTGACCAAAGTGTAAGTAGGAGTAGCAAGATATCCCTGTTATCTTAGCGTGTTTATGAGACAGAAAAAGAAGCCAGCAATCCTACCATCATGCAAAACAGTTACAGGTTTTTGTTTCACAGTCATCTGGCAGGACGGTAGTACTTCCCTGGGTGGTTGCTGTCATTACCCGAAGGTAATGACACCAAAAAAACGAAATTTTATGGAAAACTGATGGAATTATGCTCTCACAAAGTTAGTGACCTCGGCAATATTACGAATCAGCGATTTCGCCCACTTTGAGCCCAATTTTCGGTTAATTCCATTGTTCCAGTCGACCAAACTCATAGCTATTTCTTTAGAACTCCATTTGTTCTATCGATTGAGTACAAGAAACTGCCCATTTACCAATTTCAACTACCCAATTACATGATTAGAAATTTGTAATTTGGCCAATTTCACAAAAATTAAAAAATATGACAGTTTCAAAATACGGTCCAGAATGAACAATGCAGACATTCCTGGCTTTAAAATAACATTTTCTTTGTTCATCAGTCACGTCTCCAGGCCCCTCTGGTATTACTCTTGCTTTCTATTTTGAATTTTTATTCAAAAAAAAAAAAAAAAGAAGATTTATTGTTATGCAGACTACTGCAATATTGTAATAATTGTTTAAATAATGTCAACTCATATCATAACTCATAATGTCATCTGCATATCAGAATGGCTAGTTGGACATTTATTGGATAATGACATCATTTGTTTACTTTTGAACATTGGCAAAAATCGAACACTTCCCCTACTTTGAGCTCCATTTCAAGGTTTTTCATAGTAAAACCAATCAAAATTACCTCTATGTCTATAATATGTTTTCCATTCTATCAAATGAGATCAAGAAAACGAGAATACAACCATAAATACTATACGAAAATAGATCACAAAGTCATCATTTTAATTTAAAAAAACGGTCGGAGTTTTTTTTTTCTCATTATGCACTGTGTGCTACAGGATTTTTTTATATGGTGCACACTGACCACACAGACCCATTCTCTCACATGTGGGCCTACCAGCTTTCTCCTGCTTGATTTGAAGCCAATAGAATTTATGAGTATATATACGTCAAACACGGTGGCTTGTAAGGCGTATGTATACGACCGAAAGAGTCAAAGGGTTAGTGTCTTCTGGAATATTGACAAAAATTGAGTATTTCAGCTACTTTGAGCTCATTTTCATACTGCATGTAGTATGGAAACCTGTCAAATAATCTCTATTTCCATTATTTCAAGTGATACCAAGAAATAGAAATAAACAACAACAACAAAAAAAAAAATACACCACAAAGTCATTATTTTAACCTTTTCAGGGTCCAAACCATAGATCTACGCCATGAGCTCAGCTGACTCTGATAAACTGTGAGCGGTAAATTTGGGCCTAGATATGAGAGAATACATCTATGTGGTATGTGTGCACCAAATTAAACAAATCCTGCAGCACAGTGCATAATGAGAGAAAAAACTGAGACTGTAATTTTCGATTTAAACAGCAACTCTGCAGTGTTTTTTTGTTTTGTTTTTTATAGTTGTACTTGCGATTTCTTGGCCTCATTTGATAGAATGGAACATATATTACAGAAACAGAGATGATTATGATTGGTTTTAGTACTGAAAATGGCTTGAAACTGAGCTTAAATTAGTGTAAATGTTAAATTTTTGCCGATGTTCAAGAGTAAACGAATGACCTCACACGTCTAATACACACCAGTTGGTGGGTCTAATATACGTTCACAAATATGCTGATGTTATTTATACAATTATTACAGTATTGCATGACAGTAAATCTTCTATTTTTTGGCTTGAATAAAAATTCATTATGTGAATTAAAAATCAAAATGGAATTCATTTGTAAAGCCTGAAAATGTAACTAATGAACAGAGGAAATGTTAGTTTAGTGCCAGGAATGCCTGCATTGTTTATTCTGGGCCCTATTTTGAAATTAGAATATTTTGAACTTTGCACTAAATTGGCCAAATTACCAATTTCCAGTCACTTTATTTTGTAGTTCAAACAGTTGAGTTGGCAATTTCTTGTGATCAATCGATAGAATAGAAATACGTAATACTAGTGAAATAGCTAAGAATTTGGTCGACTGGAATAAGGTAATTGGCCTAAAATTGGAGTCAAAGTCAGCAAAATTGCCGATGCGTAAATATCGCTGACATCAAAATTCGTGAGAGCATAATGTCATCAATTTTCCATCAAATTTCATTTTTTTTTTTTGTTTTATTACCTTCAGAAAAAGATTCTCTACCATTTCATAAGAAAAAATAACAAAATTATTTTTTTAAAATTCTTAGACCCTAGTTTTGTTTTCCCAACATGCACTGCATGGAGTAGGAGCCTTTTATGTGGTGTACACTTACCACATAGACCCATTATCTCATATCTCAAATTTACCACTCACAGCTTATCTGAATGAGCTGAGCTCACAGCCATAGTGTTATGGGATGGACCCTCAAAGGGTTAAACAACCATGGTGACATCATGTATCCTTGTCTATGGCCTACTTTTACTGGGGAATAATCTCTCTCTGTCCTGCATACCCTAATCTGAGCCTCACTATGCTCATAAAAACTCTTAACTGCTTTTAGTAATCTACTACCTATTCCATACACTTTCAGCATCTGCCACATTGCTTCCCTATACACCCTATCATATGCTTTTTCAAATTCACAAATCCAACAAAAACATTTTTACTGTCATCTAAATACTGTTCACTTACATGCTTCAATGTTAACACTTGGTCTTGACATCCCCTACCCTTCCTAAAGCCTTCTTGTTCATCTGCGATCCTGCTCTCCATCATACCCTTATTTCTAACAATAATAACTCGACCGTACACCTTACCAGGTTTATTCAGCAGGCTTATTTCCCTATAATTCTTACATGCTCTCTTGTCCTCCGTGCCTTTATATGAAAGAACTATGCACACACTCTGCCAACCCTTAGGTACCTTCCCCTCTTTCATACATTTATTAAACAAAAGCGCCAATCACTCCAAAACTATATCCCTACCTGCTTTTAACATTTCTGACTTGGTCCCATCAGTTCCAGGTGCTTTACCCCCTTTCATTCTGCCCATAGCCCTGTGCAACTGCCCCTCACTAATTTCTGGCTCTTTCTCACACCTAAAAGATGTTTTACTACATCCCCATCGCTGATCAACATTAACCCTTTCAGGGTCGAGAGACCCTCTCCTAAACTTGTTCTCAGGGTCGAAAATTTTTCGGAAAAAAAAAAAAATTTCTTATGAAATTATGGAAAATCTTTTCCCAATCATAATGACTCCAAAAGTATGAAATTTGATGGAAAACGTATGGAATTATGCTCTAGTGAAGTTAGCGGTCTCGATGTTTATGCATTGGCGATTTTGCCCACTTTGAGCCCTATTTTTGGCCAATTCCAGTGTACTAGTTGACAGAAATCATAACTATTTCGCTAGAACTCCACTTTTTCTATTGAATGAGTACAAGAAACCACCCATTTACCGATTTTAACTCTCCAATAAAGTGGTCAGAAATTGGCAATTTTGCCAGTTTCACACAATTTCAAAAGATGCCAATTTTCAAATAGGGTCCAGAATAAACAAGACAGACATTCCTGGCACTAAAATAACATTTTCTCTGTTCATTAGTCATGTCCCCAAGCCCCTCTTACATTTCTTTTGCTTTCCACTTTGAGTTTTTATTCTCACTAAAAATAGAAAATTTACTGTTATGCAGACTACTGCATTAGTGTAAAAATGGTATAAATAATATCAGCACACTTGTGAAAGAATATTAGACTCACCAGTTGATGTGTATTGGACACTTGGCATGATTTGTTGACTTTTGAACTTTGGCAAAAATTGAACATTTTTGCTACTTCGAGCTCTATTTCAAGGAACTTTTCATTGTGAAACTAATCAAAATCATCTCAATTTCTGTAATATGTCTTCCATTCTATAAAATGAGACCAGGAAAACTAGAATACAACCATAAATACCATACGAAAATACAGTGCAAAGATGCCGTTTTAAACCAAAAACACGGTCAAAGTTTTTTTTCTCATTATGCTCTGTGTGCTGCAGGATTTTTTTTATACTGTGCACACTGACCACATACACCCAGTCTTTCAATTGTAGGCCTACCAGCTTTCTCTCGCTAGATTTGAAGGTGCTAGAATTTACACGTACTAGCACGTCAATAACCCTGGTGCTTAAGACGTACTAGTACGTCAGAAACCCTGGAAGGGTTAACAGTTCCTCAGAATATTCCCTCCATCTTCTCGATACTTCTGACTCCCTGTCTAATAACTCTCCTCTTCTTTTTTTAACTGTCAAATCTATTTGTTTCCTAGGCTTTCTCAACTTATTAATCTCAGTTACAAGATGTATTTATTTGAAGGTAAACCTAGCACCATATTTTTTCCAGGTGGCACAGTGTTACTCGTAGGTCATGGTGCAACTCTGGACACATGCACGAGAGAATTAGTTGGAGGAGCACCGAGAGCAGAACGTGAGATGCTTGCTATGATCAAGAAGGTCTGTGTGAAGCCAGTATTTATATCTTGCTTAAATTTGTTTTTTTATTATTTAAGTGCAGTTTTGTATGTGAATTGGAGACAAATAGCACGAAATCAACAAATGGTGAAAAAGTCACAATTACAGAGAGGAACTTTATTGAGATGTTTCCCCTGTGGCCACATTTCTTCAATCAGTGACTGAAGAAGATTGTCCACAGGCAAAACATCTCAGTAAAGTTTTTCTTTGCAACTTTATCTTTTTCACTCTATGTGAGTTCTCCACTGAATGGCTCCCTAGCAGGGCAAGACCTATGGGTAAGTCTTATTACACCTACTGCCTATGTTCACATATCAGTAAATAGCTGCTTCTGTGTTAGCAAACTGTTTTGTGTCACATCCTTAAGGATTGATAAATATTTCAAAGGACCTTGATAAGTCAAGGGCTTCCTGTCCTTGTTACTACTTAGCTCTTCTTATCATCCTTATCTACATTAGGTAAACACTGAGGTAAGGCAACAAGTGGAAGTAATAGCTTTGATATTAGGAAAATCTTTTATTTCTACATTTCACCCAATGTCAAGCTTTATTATGTATATAGGAAAAAAGCATATACACCACCTTGTTAGGGATACAAGCATCCTGGGGTCAAGTTTGGAGAAAGGCAGGGCAAAGGTTTAAGGTAAAGTCAGATAATGGCAAAGTATGTGAGGTCAAGTTTTGGCGAGAGTAAAGAACAAAACCAAGGTGACAAGACGAGGTTTATTTTTTTTTTCAACAAACCGGCTGCATCCCACCAAGGCAGGGTGGCCCAAAAAGAAAAACGAAAGTTTTTCTTTTTAAATTTAGTAATTTGTACAGGAGAAGGGGTTACTAGCCCCTTGCTCCCGGCATTTTAGTCGCCTCTTACAACATGCATAGCTTATGGAGGAAGAATTCTGTTCCACTTCCCCATGGAGATGAGAGGAAATAAACAAGAACAAGCACTAGAAAGAAAATAGAAGAAAACCCGGAGGGGTGTGTATATATATGCTTGTATACATGTATGTGTAGTGTGACCTAAGTGTAAGAAGTAGTATCAAGATGTACCTAAAATCTTGCATGTTTATGAGACAGAAAAAAGACACCAGCAATCCTACCATCATGTAAAACAATTACAGGCTCTCGTTTTACACTCACTTGGCAGGACGGTAATACCTCCCTGGGTGGTTGCTGTCTACCAACCTACTACCTCTGGAGGTTTATTATGTTTATATTATAAATGATGAATAATGTGAGGTATGGGAAAATGGAGTGATGGTGATGGTAATCTACTCTATGAGGAGAACCAATCATCTGTTTGTGTTAGTATCCTCTTTGGATGTGCTGTGTATGAGGGAGGCTTTCTGTTTTCAAGAGCAAACAATTTGAGGTAACAAAAGTATACTCAATTTACTTCTGTTCTTCTGAATGATATTTTTCATTGTACATTCTGAGTGCTTGGAGAAAGAATCCTGTTATAACACTTCTCATGGTTTTGAGCTCAGGGTGGTATAGGTTTTATATTAGGCCGTCATAATGTTTGAGTGTATAGAAACCCAACAGTAAAGATGACCAAATATATTATTTCTCCCATCATGACCTCGGACCCAAGCAGGACATTATCATAGGATTCTTTTTATGAGTACTTACACTTCATATTGATGAATATCTTTCAGAAGAACAGGAATATGTAAAGGACACTTATGCTACTATCAGATTTCGTCCTCATACACTGACACCCACAGAGGATATCAGCATTGTGAAATGGCTGGACCCCTACACAAGCGTAACTGCCATTACCATAGCCCTGCTTTTCTGAAAGACTAACTTGAGTGTGGCACTCTTAACCACCAAAATATCAAAATTACCCGAAGCCCAAAACCTGGAATTGCTTGTATACCAGAAGTGTGAAATTATATATTGGGAGACCGGCCAAGACTTTCATCCATATGTCAGTAACAAATTTGCCTGCAGGATGGATTACACTAACATTGCATGCATAGTCCATTGTAACCTACATTGTCACATCATGGACTTGGGAGAGAACTCAAGTCAAACCACCAAAACAAGACATTGCTCAGAATTTTAGAAACAGCTATGATATACCTAAACAACACCATCAAACAAGACTCGTTCAGTAAACATAAAGTACATTGTACAGTAAACCCTCAATAGGGGATGCTGTTATATCTGAATGTTGAGAATAGTAAAAAAGTACCCTAAAGCACTTCCCAGTGGTTCCTATCTTTTTCACCACAAAGATCCCTTTATTTAAATGATTTTTCCATGAATCCCAGGTTTTGAAAGGTCTGTCTACTCAACAAGCTGATTTTTATTAGCTAACAACAAACTCGTTTTCTCAGTTTTATCTCTCAGTTGAAAGACATGTGTAAACTGACTATTCAGTTAAATAAATGGCAAGTATTGAAAAGCTTACTTGTTTAATGAAGATGGTTATGCTGTTTTGCTGATGCTGTGTTCTGAATTTGATTCAATGGCAGACAGTTTGAAGCATAGATCAGATTCAACTTCATCCTGTTTCTGTATTTTGATTTATATAAAAGAGCTGGGGGAAAGCCTGTTTACATTAATATACAGTGGGGAATAACATTAACCTTTCACGGTCGGTCCCATATATGTAACGGCTTGATAGCCAGTGTCGGTCTCCGTATTTATATGCCAAAATTCTAGTCCTTCATATCTGGGGGAAGAAAACTGGTAGGGCCTACATATGAAAGAATGGGTCTGCATGGTCAGTGTGCACAGTATAAAAAAAAATCTGCAGCAAGCAGTGTATATGCGAAAAAAAACTCCGACTGCATTTTTGGTTTTAAAAAGTGACTTTGCAGTGTGTTTTTGTATGGTATTTATGGTTGTATTCTCGTTTTCTTGATCTCATTTGATAGAATGGAAGATATACTACAGAAATAGAGCTGATTTTGATTGGTTTCACGATGAAAAGTACAGTGGACCCCCGAGTTTCATGATTAATCCATTCCAGAGAGTCTGCCTAATGGCGAAATTCACGATTGGCGAATCCATTTCCCCATAAGAAATAATGTAAATCCAATTAGTGCATTTTAGACACCCAAAAGTATTAACAGAAAATAATTTTTTTAAAGATTAAATATAGATTTACATTCAGAAAACAATGACAAATAAATATACAGCACTAATGAAATGGACAAATGAACATTTAACATCATACTTACCTTTATTGACTCTTGTTGGTGTATGGAAGACAGGTAGAAGGGAGAGGGAGGCGAGTTTATTATGCTTCAGTATGACGCTAATATCATCTCTACGGCTTATTTATCTATCACAATTCATCTAATATGACACCCGAATCTGCATGACAGTGTCTTCCATTGCAGACACTGCAAGGCTCCAGGCGGACATCAACCAAATCTTTCAGTGGGCTGCAGAAAACAATATGAAGTTCAACGATGAGAAATTTCAATTACTCAGATATGGTAAACATGAGGAAATTAAATCTTCATCAGAGTACAAAACAAATTCTGGCCACAAAATAGAGCGAAACCCACGTCAAAGACCTGGGAGTGATTATGTCGGAGATCTCACCTTCAAGGACCAAACATTGTATCAATCGCATCATACTAGAAAAATGACAGGATGGATAATGAGAACCTCAAAACTAGGGAGGCCAAGCCCATGATGACACTCTTCAGGTCACTTGTTCTATCTAGGCTGGAATATTGCTGCACTCTAACAGCACCTTTCAAGGCAGGTGAAATTGCCGACCTAGAAAATGTACAGAGAACTTTCACGGCGCGCATAACGGAGATAAAACACCTCAATTACTGGGAGCGCTTGAGGTTTCTAAACCTGTATTCCCTGGAACGCAGGAGGGAGATACATGATTATATACACCTGGAAAATCCTAGAGGGACTAGTACCGAACTTGCACACGAAAATCACTCACTACGAAAGCAAAAGACTTGGCAGACGATGCACCATCCCCCCAATGAAAAGCAGGGGTGTCACTAGCACGTTAAGAGACCATACAATAAGTGTCAGGGGCCCGAGACTGTTCAACTGCCTCCCAGCACACATAAGGGGGATTACCAACAGACCCCTGGCAGTCTTCAAGCTGGCACTGGACAAGCACCTAAAGTCAGTTCCTGATCAGCCGGGCTGTGGCTCGTACGTTGGTTTGCGTGCAGCCAGCAGCAACAGCCTGGTTGATCAGGCGCTGATCCACCAGGAGGCCTGGTCACAGACCGGGCCGCGGGGGCGTTGACCCCCGAAACTCTCTCCAGGTAAACTCCAGGTAAATAATAAACAATATTAATAACATAGAACCATGATATATACTCTAGAATGAATAAAATGTGTCTTAATGTATGAGAGGAGTAAGTGGTTGAAGTGTTGTTGGGTTTATAAGGGTCACCGAGAGAAGCAGTACATATTAGTAGTGGTGGAGGCACCAGCAGAACCCACCAACTATTCACACTTAAACAATGTATGTAATTTATAAATAAGAAATATTTACATTTTAATTTATAAATAAGTAAGTTTATTCAGGTATACACAAATACAGTTACATAGATTATTATACATAGCAGCATACATATGTGTAAAGTACCTAGGATAACCCCAAAAAGTTAGAGTGAGTTATTTCCATTGGAGTCCTTTTATATTTAGTTTAATTAATTAGTTTGATGGAGGAGATGCGGGCAGGGGTTTTAGGGTGGTCGAAGATAGCAGGGCGGTGTATGTTCAGCAGTCCTATACGCATCCACAACATTGGAAAGTTACTTTTGTGTCGTTTTTTCTATTGCTTAATCTCTTAACTTACTTGCTACACTGTTAATTCTACACTTTATCACTGGCTGGCACTATAGCCTTTATCGATACCTGCTGCTTTAGTATTGTACATATTGTAGAGTCACTGAATCACTGCAGAAAGCACATTCTCCCCTCTCTCTCCCTCCTCCGCTTTGGTACTTTGCTACGAGTTTTTTCTTGAATTCTATTGTT